GTAGACAGTATTTATAATGTGGTAAGGACTTAAGAAGGAGAGATGTGGGAATCAGGTGGGCAGTCATTTCAACCCTGTGAGGAAGCGAGACATTCCCGATAGGATTTAGATTGAAGTGTCCTTTGGGGTGGTTGGATATGAGGGAGACCAGGTAGTCCTAAATGTAACAGAATCTTGTCTGAAAAGATGGGTTGGTGGATAAGAGCACTAGCTGCTCTTCCAGAGGATCCGGGTTCGATTCCCAGTAACCACATCGTGGCTTACAATCATCTCTAACTCCAGTTTCAGGGGCTCCAACACCTTCTGGTCTCCACAGGCGCAGGCATGCAAGTGATATAGAGACTGACATTCACCCATACACATAAAATTCCAATTAAAATTGAAAAAGGAATTAACAGAATAAATTTAACCCCAGATGTGAGCTTGAAACCTAAAGGAAAATGCTGAATTAATAGTATTTCTTTGAGGGGGAGGGAACCTCCAGTCTTACCTGGATAATTTGGGAGAAGTACTTTTTCTCCACATAGCTTCAGAAGGGCAAAGCGAGGGGGCTCGAGGTAGACCCTGGAACAAGCATGGCCTCTCCGGGAGATGGAGGTATATACATGAGGCTGACAAGGTCGCTGTAGCACAGGCAGGCCACCAACAGTGGAGGCGTGGGGACTGTGGCTCTGGCAGAGGGAGCCTTTTGTTTTTTGCGGCTAAGGCTTATAAAACAGGTGACAGGAGGCTTATGCAGATTTCCTAGCTTGGGGCCCAGAGTAGATGTGACAGATAGGAGCTATACTGCAGCATCAGCCACCTCTCCTAAAAGCAAAGGGCAGCGAGCGAGGGAGCGGGTGAGTCAGGAAAAATGAGGTGAGAAGAAAGAACAGCCAGCCCAGAATTCACCAACAGCTAGTGTACTGCCCATGCAGTACCCTCAGCCTCTCCTGGCCTCTGACTGCTCATCTCTAAGATGGGGGTAATAATCCTGACCTCAGAGTGCTAGCTGTATCAGATGGGACTCCGTGAAGCCATGGAGGAAAGGCCTAACCACAAGCCGCAGTAACAACGGTGACAATCACTGAAAGCCAGTTCGGAGCCTTGCCCCATGCTAAGTGCTTTATATACCTTGTTTCAAGAGATTGGTGGTTGGCTAGGTAATGGCCTCTTTAAAGATCGCCGCATCCTCATCCCAGGAGTCTGTGGGTGTCACACTAAGTGGTCAAAGGGGCCCTTAAAAGTGGGACCAAATTAATGATCTTGTGAGCAGATCTATATTCTGTAATCTACAAGCCTCCTGAGAAGGGGGAATACGTCATCATTATGAGATCCTAAGACGCCCGAGCGATGCAGGAATGAGGCGTGGATCAAGGAATGTAGACAACCCCTCCAAGCTACAATAGAGAGGAAACAGATCTCCACCCCCAAAGACTCCTGAGAAGTCCACTCCCATGGACCCACCTTAGGTTTAGGACCTCCAAACTGTAGGAGAAAAAATTCAAGCTAACAAAGTCATGTTCGTCTGTTATGGCAGCAACAGGAAGTCTATACAGATCTCATCCCTGAGGTCAGACTTGCTTAGATTCTCTTTGCTTCATAGGGTAACAAGAGGAATTGATGTGAGTTCTAGGCGGCACTCTCAGGTTCTCGTGATCGCAAGGCCAACAGTTTACTGACTAAGTCACCTTTCCACCCCTGGATGAGAGAAATTGTATGGTTGGCTCTCGAGCCACAACCCAGAGCCTACCTCTGTACAAGAATCCCGTGGTTAATCCTGGGGATTGGTGCCTCTCACCTCATCACTGCCTGCACTCTCTGAGATCATTATTATTACCCCTGTGCTGCAGAGGAGAAAGGTAATGAGATTGAGAAAGTTACCCACGGTGACGTGGGCTATAAAAGGCAGCGCCAGACTCTAACGAGGGCTCTGCCTTTTGAGGCCCATGCTCACCAGCTCTGCCCCTCTGCACGGGGAACCTCATGCCAACTCTCCCATTGAATGCCAGATGCTTAGGCAGGACCTAAGAGCCAGACAGAGCGCGGTGTTCCCTCCCTGGGCCAAAGCTGCCAAGGCAAGAAATCAAACGAATCTGTGTTTCTTAGCAAAACAGCAACCGCAGCTTCCAGGGCAATCAGTGTCTAAGAGGTTAGCAACCTTCTGACATCCCCGGGCCAGCCAGCCTCCAGCAGCAAATCATGAAAGTGTGAATACTGTGTTTAGTCATTCGGGTTCTGGAATAATTGCTATTATCGTAAATGTTTTATAGCTCTCATTACGGCTCACATTTAAATATCAGTGTAGTAATACGTTAATAAGTCATTGCTGCTGGGCCGCTGCTGGATACGGTTCCAGCTGAAGCCTGAATGTTAGCTGCCCTGTATCTGCAGCCAAGCGAGGGCTGGCTGTGAACTCTTGGGATCTGAACCAAGCGCTCACTTGCTCCCTTCCTGGCTTTGTTCATTGTATGCACTGCCTTGCACATGATGCCACCCCCCAGCAGAGCAGAATTCTGAGACGATAGGAGAAGAGACAGCATCCCTTCTGTCCCAGAGACTTCCTTGATCCAGCAGAACTCAGCTTGATGGGGTTGGTGAATTCTTTCTTAGAGTTGGCTGATAAAAAGGCTCCGAAGGCTTCCTGGGTGGACAGAGACGGGATGCACACACGTGCAAGCACAAAAACCAGTTGGTGTGGGGAGAGCTACACAAAAGAGCCAAAAAGTTTCCACTTCTGAACCGGCGCAGCTGCGTGAGGCACACAGACACAAGCCGTTGTAAACCGGTGTGTTCCTCTCTACTGATGCCTGGCATAGGCCGAACACATCGTGGGTATACAGTGGATGTCAGAGGGTGGGGGAACAAGAACTGGGCTCTTTTCCTCTGTGTGCTCCCCACCCCCTACCCACCAAGCGAGTAATGGAGAGACCAGAGCATTTGAGGAGTGGGTTTGAGTGGCAAGTGTGATCACTGGAACCCTGCTTGGGACTAAGGTTACAAGGGCCGGAGAATTGGCAGGACCCCTTGGGTTGAGGGCTTGGGGTGATAGTGTTTGAATGAAGTACTCTTTCTCTTTGGAAGGTTGAGGTGAGGGATAGATCACTACAGGACAGGGCACGATTCTCTCCAACACAGTTGGGAAATCGATGAGCTCTATTTATTGAGTGCATACTACACGCCCTACATTGGTATCTCACAGAGAAGGTGCTTTAAGAAAAAGGCGGGCCTCTGAATTTGAGGCCAGTTTGGTATACAGAGAGAGTTCCAGGACAGCCAGGGCTACACATTTTTTAGCTAGGCAGTGGTGGTGGATGCCTTTAATTACAGCTCTGGGTGGGGTGGAGCAGAGGCAGACTGAATCTCTGAGTTCGAGGACAGCTTGCTGTATAGACCAAGATCCAGGACAGCCAGGACTACACAGAGAAACCCTGTGTCAGAAAAAAAGAAAGGAAGGAAGGAAGGAAGGAAGGAAGGAAGGAAGGAAGGAAGGAAGGAAGGAAGGAAG